GGGGGGAGTGGGAAGAGGGGAGTGGGAAGAGGGGAGTGGGAGGTGGTTGTGGCGCGTACCGCAGTGCTGGCAGGCGGCCGAAGAAGGCGACAAACGTGAAGAAGGACACGGCCAGGGCGAGAATTACGAGCGTGCGCGCGAGCGCCATGGTCCCTACTACAAGGCGTGCATGTTTGGTGGTGGGAGGCTGCCAAGAAACCCCCGAGTTGTGGATTGATACAATGGATCGTCCCCGTGAGCACGCGTTTCGCCGACGCGTCGACGCAGCCCGCATCCCGCACTCGACAATCCCGCACTCGACAATCCCGCACTCGACACCGCACCCGACACCGCACCCGACAATCTCGACAATCCCGCACCCAACGCCGCACCCGACACTGCACCCAACGCTGCACCCAAAACTGCACCCGACACTGCACCCGACACTGCACCCGACCATGGCGGCGGGCATCGTCTACGACCGCATGGCCGAGGGCGCCGACCTGCAAGCCGGCGCGCTCTTTGACGGCTGCAAGTTCTGGGTCGCGCAACGCGTGCCGCACCGCGCCGCGCTCCTGGCCACCATTGCGGCAAACGGCGGGCGCACTGTGCCGCTGGAGAAGCAGGCCGACTGGCTGATTGCCGACCACTTGCGCAAGGACTGCGCGCCGGGAACCACCAGCTACGAGTTTGTCGACAAGTCGGTCGCAAGGGGCGAGCTGCTGGACCCAGCCGACTTCCCCGCCGGTCCGCGCGTCGGCGCCGCGCGCGACGCGGGCGCCCTGGCGCGGCCTGCAAAGGGCACCCGCGCTCCATACACGCCCGACGAGGACCGCCAGCTGTATCAGTGGGCGCGGGACGCGCAGGCAAAGGGCGCGGCCGTCGGCGGGAACGAGCTGTACAAGCGGCTCGAGGAGAGGGTGAGGTCGCTGTCGGCCGAGGAATGTACAGCACAGTGCTGATTCTGCGTAGAACCCGCGGCACACATGGCAGTCGTGGCGCGCCCGCTACCTCAAGAAGCTCCAGTACATGTCACCCGCCGCCTTTGACGCGCCCGACAACGCCCGGCCTTCTCCGCTCTCGAACCAGTCGTCGCGCGCCGCCGAGGTGCCGGTCGCGAGGACGATGGGGCTCGTCAAGAACAAGGACAGCCACGACTACAGCCACGACTACAGCCACGACAACGACCACGACAACAACCACGACCACGACCACAATCACAACCACGACCACGACCACGACCACGACCACGACCACGACCACGACCACAACCACAACCACAACCACAACCACAACCACGACCACGACCAAGACAACAACCACGACTACAACCACGATTACAACGTCGACCAACTAGCCGCAACCTTTTCGACGAGAGACTGGGAGGAGCTCTATGCCTACGTTGACGTCATTGACAGCATGGACAAGAAAGACGCCAGGTACGCAGCCGCATGGAACAGCTGGGCAGACAAGGAGGCCGACCAGACGGCAGACAAAAAGGCCAACCAGAGGGCAGACAAAAAGGCCAGCCAGACGGCCGACCAGTGGCGCCAGTACTACGAAAAGGTCGTCAGGCCGCAGTGGTGCAGAGACCCACCCTCGAAGCGGGAGCGCATCAGGAAGAAAGTCGTGGACCGACACAGCCACGACAGCTCGAGCCCGACTAACAGCCAGAGCCAGACCTGGGCTCAGGCGCAGGACGCTGTCGCCGCCTCACAGGAGCGGGGTCTGGCACGTCCGGAGCCTGTGCATCCACCGCGCACAGGCTCGAACATCCTGCCGTCCGCTTCGATTTCGAGGCTGGACTCTGAAGCCACCGCACAGCAAGAGACGCCGCAGTACATCAGAAACGGCTACGAACCGGCACTCAAGCGGATCATCAAGCGGATCATCAACCAGGTCGACGAAGCGCCGGACTCGGAAAGCGCACCCCGACCCACAAAGACGCGCAGGAAGACTGGCATTTCAAGTCCAGGGCCGGAAGCAGAGCATGTCCACGGCACCCAGCAACAGCCACTGCACACCTCCTCAGCAGCAACCTCTCCGAAAGCACATGTCGAGCAGCCTCTGCACGAGGCAGCATCACAACCCCACACGCAGGAGCAGGTCGCAGCAGTGATCGACCTCGGCGACCAAGCCGAGAGCGCCTCGGAAGACGGTCTTGAGCCACTCGGTCCGCCTGTCAAACACGCAGAAGACGTCGCCGACGACGACGACGACGACGACGACGACGACGACGACGACGACGACGACGACCTCACCTACATCGCGCCCCTATCCCGTCCACCACAGATCCCCGAAGCCTCGGACGACGAATTCTCAGACGACGAATTCTCAGACAAAGCCTCAGACGACAAAGCCTCAGACAAATTCTCAGACAAATTCTCGGACAAATTCTCAGACAAATTCTCAGACAAATTCTCAGACAAATTCTCAGACGACAAATCCTCAGACGAAGCCTCCCTCCCCTCCGCCACACCCACCCCTCGAGCGCCCAAGTTGGCCGCATTCGACACCCAGGCCATCCTCTCGCCCTCGCAAAACCCGCCCCTGACCCGCCTCCCGCGCCCTCACCTCGGCTCGTCGCCGCCACACCACCCAGACTCGGAAGCAAGCACGACGCAGTCGCTGCACGAGTTCAGCAGCTACCTACACGGCGGCGGCGAAGACCCAGCGCCGCAGTCCCACGCCCCGGGGACCAGACTCCCACGCCCCGCGTCGCCCGCCTCCTCGGACCGCTCAGACCTCTCCGTCGGCTCTGCAGCCGCTGACCCAGACCCCCCTCTCGCAGCCGCGGGGATCCACGCCTTCATCACCGCCCAGCGCGCCGCAGGCTTCGCCCACGAGCCCATCGCCAGAGCGCTCAAGCGGACGCGGTGCCGGCCCGGTCTGGCGACGGTCGTGCTGCTGGCGTGGCGCGCCGGCGGCTCCCTGCCGGAGCAGCGCGGCGTGTGGAGCGTCGACGAGGACCGCGTCGTCGAGACGGGGGATGGCGCGGCGCTGGCCGCGTTGGTGAGGAAGCACACCCTCGACGGCTGGGGCGGCGTCACGGAGCGCATCAATTTCCTTGCCGCGTGGGCGCGGCGCTGAGGGAGCGAGGGGGCTGCGGAGAGCTTCACGTCCGAGTTTGGGTGTAATTACAGCAATACATGTACTAGACTAGTGGTGGATCCACTTCTTCTTCGACCCATCGGCGTTGCGCTTGCGCGACTTTTGCTTCTTGGCCTTGTTCTGCTCCGGTGTCCCCGTCTTCGGTGCGGCCGTCTCGTCTGCGCCGTCGCCGTCGCCGTCGCCCTCGTCCTCGTCGTCGTCGTCTGCATCTTCTTGGACGGGCGCGGGCTTGATCACCTCGTCGTCCTCGTCGAAGCCCAGCCCGTCCACGGCACCAAGGAACCCAGTGTTCCCCTCGCCCTTGATCAACGCCTCGACATCGATGCCACCGCTGGTGAGGTACCGCGCGCTCACACCCGTGTTGATGCGCTGCGCCAGCAGGCCTCTGAGCTCGTGTCTGATGCTCGCAAACTCAGCCTTTGTCATCTCGCTCGCGCTCTTCTCCTTCTTCTTCCTGCCTGCGCCCCTGCCCTTCTTGCCCTTGGCCTCCTTGTCAAACTCCTCCGAGTCGTAGTCGATGCCCAGATCGGCCGCCGCCTGCGTGAACATGTCGTCGGTGCTGTTCTTCTTCTCCTTTGCAATCACCGTGTCGGCCAGCTTCTTGCTGAGCGTCGCCCGCGGCTTCAGCCGTGCCACGATGCGCCGGTCCAGGTCCAGCGTGCGGATGAAGTAGGCGCGTTTCTTGCTGGTTTGCGCCTGCGCGCTCGACGCTTTGGCGTGCACTTTGGCCACGAGCCGCCGCACCCCCGCCACCTCCTCGGGCGCGCAGATGATGATGCTGGACCCCGACGCGTCGGCGCGCGCTGTGCGGCCGGACCGGTGCACGTACGTGTCTGCCGCGCGCGGCAGGTGGTAGTGGATCACGAGGTCGACTTTCGGGATGTCGAGACCGCGCGCTGCCACGTCCGTGGCGACGAGGATCGAGCCGGCTCGTTCTTTGAAGCGCTCGATGGAGCGGAGGCGCGCTTTCTGGATCATGCTGGAGTGCAGCGGGAGCGCGGGGAGGTTGAGGTTGGCTAGGAAGGGCGTCAGGCGCCGCACGGCGGAGATGGAGTTTGTAAAGATTAGGGCCCGCTTGTTCGGGTGGAACAGTAGGAGCGAGTACAGGTACAGGTCCTTTTCTGGTCCGGCGCACTCGATCAGCCCTTCGCGTAGCTTGCTGGCCATTTGGGATTCGGGGTTTGCGTCGATGTAGCGGGGTTGCTCTTCGCGAAAGTTCAGCTTCTTGAGGAGATACTCCATCGAGTCGGCCTTGTTCATGATGTCGCCCGTGCCGCTGCCGAACTTGACTTTGCCGGCGAGCTTCTGCTGCAGGCCCTTTGAGAAGGTGGCCGAGAAGACAAGAGTCTGGCGCTCCACTTCTGGTGCTGGCTCGTCATCCTCTTCCTCCTCGTCTTCTCTGTCGAGAACTTTGAGGATCTCGCCAAGCTCCTGGTAGTGGCCCTGACTGAGCAATCGATCTGCCTCGTCCAGGACGAGGAACTTGATCTGTTTGAGCGAGCGAAGTAGGCCCTTGCCACTGCTGATGACCTCCCACAGGCGCCCAGGTGTACCCACAACGACGTCTGCATGCTCGAGCTGGCGACGCTGCTTCTGCACGGACAGACCACCCGTGATTGTCGCGATGGATGGCGCATCAAAGTCGCCTTTGACGCAGAGATCGTTCAAATGCGCCGTGATCTGATGCGCAAGCTCGCGGGTCGGCGCCACGATCAATGCCGTAGGCACATTTGGTGCATTCGAATCCTTCTCTTTACGGGTCGGCTTTGTCGCTAGATAGCGCTCTACAATAGGAATGCCAAACGCAAGCGTCTTTCCAGAGCCCGTGGATGCTTTGCCAATCAGGTCCCTGCCAGCCAGGATTTCTGGTATCGTCGAGGCCTGGATGTTGCTTGGCTTCGAAAACTTCAGGCCTGCCAGCGCGCCGATGACCTTCTCAGACAAGCCGAGCTCCTCCCATGCTGATGTATCGACCACCTCGTCATCGTCATTCGGTTGGTTCAAGAGAATATCAAATGCTCCCTCGCCAGAAATCTCAAAGTCCTCGTCTGCCTCGACGCCCTCTTCTTCAATGTAGTCTGGGTTGGTCTCGACGACTTCGGGCTTCCCTGCGTTGGCGGTGGTGTTCTGCTTCAGCTTCTGCTCCTCCTCCCTCCTAGCCTTGGCCTCTGCTTTCTTCTCCTTCTTCGTCTTTGGCTTCTCTTTCTTGGTCTCCACCTTGTCCTTTGTCAACGTTCGGCCGTCGGCGATCTCGCTGTTTGGGTTGAGGTCTTCGATTTCAATGCCGCTTTTCTTTGCTGGCGTCTCGTCGTCGTCGCTGAACCCTGTAAAGGACTCGTTGTCGCTCGCGGCGACGTCCTTTGCGGGTGTGCCTTGCTCAACTTCCTCTTCTGCAGCTTCTTCCTCTTCGACTGGGAGCTCTTTCCCCTCCTGGCCAATCATCTTTTCTAGGCGCGCAGCTTCCTCCTCCTCGCGCTTCCAAGCAGCTTCGACGTCGTTTGCAACTTCCTCCTCCGTCTTCGTTGTCTGGAACGTGATGTTTCCGGTTGTTGCGTCCTTGATGACTTCTACATCGTCGATCTCCTCCAGGCCGTAAAAGCCTTCGGTGTCCTCGAGACGGTCGGGCATGCCTACAGTCTTCCATCCCAGATCATGCAGCTGCACCCGGCGCTTCTGCTTCTTCGCCACAGGGTTTGAAGCTTTTTCGAGCTTCTGGCGCTTGTGCGCTTTGTGCGCCGCTTTCGGGGGGTTGTGCGCGCGCTTCATTGTGAAAACGTGTGGTTGTTGACGTCTGGGCGGGAGTGGTCGCAAAGTCTCGAAACTTTTTCGACAGGCCGGCAGCTCCTCGGCGGTACTTTGAACACCGCGGGAGTGCCCCTCACGTGGGGTTGACTTTCACATCTTCAGGCGTCGTAGAACGATGCTGTAGCTCGATCTGGCGGCCAATGAGACCGAAGAGAATTACTTAGGGCCTCTTTATTTCATACACTCAGCGATAGCATCTGGACAGTGATCTCCAGGCGTTCGTCCAGCCAGGCGAATTTGTACCAAAATTTCGTGCACCAAAGTCTATTGAACCTCAATTGGGAGGACTGCGCACAGGCTCATACACGAGACAAAAGAGCCGGAGCGCAAACATGGGCAAGTCATCAAAAGACAAGCGAGATGCCTACTACCGTCTCGCCAAAGAAGAAGGCTGGCGCGCACGATCAGCCTACAAACTCCTCCAAATCGACGAAGAGTTCAATCTCTTTGAAGGAGTAACGCGAGTCGTCGACCTCTGCGCTGCGCCAGGAAGCTGGAGCCAAGTACTCTCCCGCGTGCTGATCAAGGGTGAAACCTTCGGACGAGCAGGCTGGTCGCAAAAGCAAGCAGCAACGAAACAACATGTCCTCGGTCTCGACAAAGACGAGAGGGAAGAGACCACAGCATCCGCCGTCCAGGCCCCGAAACCAAGAGACAACGTCCGCATCGTCGCAATCGACCTCCAGCCCATGTCGCCCCTCGAAGGCGTAACAACAATGCGCGCCGACATCACACATCCTTCGACCATCCCGCTCATGCTCAAGGCCCTGGACCCGGACACCTACGACGCCTCTTCGCCAACATCCTCCTCTCCCGTCGACCTGGTCATCTCCGACGGCGCGCCCGACGTCACCGGCCTGCACGATCTTGACATCTACGTGCAGTCCCAGCTCCTCTGGGCTGCGCTCAATCTCGCGCTGTGTGTGCTCAAGCCCGGCGGGAAATTCGTGGCCAAGATCTTCAGAGGGAAGGATGTCGATCTGCTGTTTGCGCAGTTGAAGATCGTCTTCAAGCGGGTGAGGGTTGCGAAGCCGCGGAGCAGTCGCGCGAGCAGCATCGAGGCGTTTGTCGTGTGTGAGGGCTTCTGTCCGCCGGTGGGGTTCAAAGCGAGTCTCGATAAGCCGTTGGGCGCTGGGACACAGCTCTCGACAGACACACCAATGGACACAGCGCCCAAGGAGCAGAAGACAGTCCAGCGCACTGTCCGCGCCGATGGCGCCGTGGAGCTCGACTTTGGCACCGAGGACGAGGAGGATGATCCGGAAGAAGGTGGGCAGCGGTGGATAGCGCCGTTCCTGGCGTGTGGAGACTTGTCGAGTTACGATTCCGACGCCACGTATAAGTTGCCCAAGGATAGAATTAGTCTTGATCCTGTGCAGCCGCCCACGGCGCCGCCATACAAGCGGGCGCTGGAGATGCGGAAGTTGGCTGGGGGTGCGTACGGGAAAACAAAAGGGAGGACGATCAAAGACAAAGCCTGAGTCTGAATCAAATGCGTGTTCTGTTGGGTATCGTAAATGATGAAGCTACTATCTCGTCTTCCACGACGTCTGTTCCTCTGAACGCCGAGTCCTCCGTACTTTACTGGTCGCAGGCCATGGCCCCCTTAGACTCAGTCCGAAGGGTTCCTCTTACGACGCCCCATATCCCCTAAAACTCTCACACGGCAGATAGTTGTTCTCAATGAACGCCGAATCCAACCTGATCCCCTCGACACCCTTCCACACCCTCTCTTCACTGAACGGCGGCATTATGGCCCTCACACTCCCCACAACCGTCTCGATACTCGTCGTGACAGACGTATTGAACAGCCTTATCATGTTATCACACGTCTTCCCATCCGCGAAAATCGGCTGATTCGTCACGTTCTTGAAAAACTCAAGACTATACGCCCACTCCGCAGTTGCACTCGACGCTTCAAACACCGTCTCGATGCGCGCCGTCCCGCTCTCACTCGTTGCCGAGAACACGGTCTCGCCGGGCTTCGCTCCAGACACGTACGCGTCGCACGCCGGCTCGAAGACGGCGGCGAGCGTGTCGATGCCGTAGTCCCGCGCACCCTTGAGCGCGATCTCATGGCCCGCGCTCATCAGCAGCGACGGGTTCCACTTGAAACTCGTCCCGTCCGAGAACATGTCCACGAAGGGGAATTCGATGCCGGTCCGTGTGAAGTCCGGGATCTTGTAGCCAAAGGCTTGCACTTCGTGGTCGTGCACGGCTTGCAGGATAGCGGGGTACATGTCCGGGGGGAAAGAGGGGAGGAGAGACTGGTACGCAGATGTGAGGATTGTGTACTGTGCGGGTATGAGTTGGCGGGCGAGAGTCAGTGGGATGGGTAGGACGCTGATGGTGCCGTTCAGTGTGCCGGTTGCGTTGCCTGGGTAGAGGTGGGCGATCGGATTAGGTAGGTCGTGGGTCTGGCAGAGGGCCATGTCCGATGGTATCATGAGGAGTGGTGTTGTTGGTGGCGTTGAAGCTGTGTGGTAGCGGAAGGCGAGCAGAGCGAAGAATGAAAGCGCGAGATATTGTTTCCTCGAGGCTCCAGGTTGTGACTTTGTGGAAAGACTGGGCACGAGTGCGATGATAGGGTGGCACAAGAGTGCCACATCCAAAAGACTAACGGTAGGCATGTTGACCAGCATGTTTGCGAACGGTACTGCCACCGAACAGCCAGACTGAGAGAGAGGAGACAGGAGGTGAGAAAAGTTCGCATCAACAAGAAACGATTTCGAGTTTATGAATGATCAAGCCGGCTCCTCCTTCCTCTCTCAAAATCCGGAACGCCTCCTGCCGCGCCTCAAGTGCGCGTGCAATCATCCTCACCGCGTCACGTCCACCTTCGCGAACGGGAGCCAGCTATCCGAACACATAGCGGTAGGCTAAACCACGCACGGCTGTTTAATTTTGTCGTTGCGAGCGTCTAGCAAGCCCTATCCGTGTAGAGAAACGGTGTGTTGTGCACAGGGTCGCTCTAGCGCCTGGAAGACTGAGGTTCCGAGCTGATCTTTCTTTCATAGTTCAACGTGTGCGCTACGCTTGGAGGGCGCATTCAAGCATTGTTGGTGGGCGCACACTCGAATGCAGCTGCTGTTTCGGAAGTCTGGCGTTTTGTACACACGTCTACAGTTGCCGTTGGAAGTGTCAGGAGGCACAGGACGTGAGAAGATGGTTTCGAGGAGGCGGGGCCACGTGCACGAAGTGGGGCTGACACATCCGCGCCCTCCATTTAGGTAACCGAGTTTTGCGACAACTGAGCACGAGGCTGTTAACATGTCTCTCTATATAGAGGCATTGCCGATAATTAGCGCAAGTATGGCCGACGCATGGTATAATCATAGAAGAGTCTGTAGACCTCACAGCAACGGGTATGGTCGGGCACACGCAGCGGCGTGACAGTCGCCTGATCAAGATCTGAGGCTTACAACGTCATATCGACTGATCACAGCAACAACGAGAAACCATTTACAATGATCTCTGTCCTCAAGTTTCTCCCTTCCATAGTCTCATTTGCTGTCGCCTTTGCAGCATACTACTACCACAACAGCAACCAGATGTCTTCTACCATACCGGACGACATATCCTCCAGATGCGCCATCGTCGTAGGATCAGGCCTGGCAGGGCTCAGTGCTGCTTCACAACTAGTCAAGCATAATGTTACGGTCCGCGTCCTCGAGCGTGCAGCGAAACCTGGAGGCAATAGCATCAAGGCATCATCTGGCATTAACGGCGCGCCAACGGAATACCAACCAAGCCCGGAACCGGAAGATGCGTTCTACACGGACACAGTGACATCAGCCGGCCTGCGAATGTCACTGTTTACTGTTGAAAGACAGAAGCTTATCAAGACATTGACAAATTCCTCTGCAGGCGCGATTCATTGGCTTGTGGAGGAGAAAACCGTTGACCTCAGCAAGGTCGCACAACTGGGTGGACACTCATACGCCAGGACTCACAGGGGGGGCGGGGCACCTCCAGGATTCGTAATCATTAGCACGTTGCTGAAGGGCCTCAAAGAGTCTCCTCTCTTCCACCTACAGACTTCGTGCACCGTCACGAAAGTGATGTTGAGCAGGGAGCGGGTAATAGGTGTGGAGTACATCGATGCAAACGGTAACTGTGAAGAACTGCACGGCCCTGTGATTTTCGCATCAGGAGGATTTGGGGGCGATGCTGAAGGTCTCCTTGCTCAGTACAGACCAGACCTCTCAGGCTACCCATCGACGAACGATCCACGACCCGGGACGCAGCCATTGCTTACAGAAGTAGGGGCTCAGCTCGTCGATATGGATTCTGTACAAGTGCATCCAACGGGCTTCGTTGATCCCGCAGATCCCGCCTCGCCGCTCAAATTCCTGGCCGCCGAGGTACTCAGAGGCGAAGGTGGCATTCTCTTGCTCGACAGCAAGCGCTTCACCAACGAGATAGATACCAGAGAGAATGTCGCCAACGCTATTACCTCGACGACTCCGACATCTGAGTCGCCGCGTCAGTGGGAGGTGCAACTCATTCTGGACGAGGCGACGTATGATGCTGCGAGGTCACATGTTGACTTCTATATTTTCAAGGGTCTTATGCGCAAGACGACCGTTTCTGAGCTTGGTTCTGAGGCGCTCGATAGCATTGGATTGTATGCTTCCACAGTCGCACAGAAGACCAACGACCAGTTCGGCCGTGTGTTCTTCGGCAACTGGGCATTGAAGGATCCTACAACCGAGTCTGTGGTTTTTGTTGGTACAGTCACCCCCATCGTTCATTACACTATGGGTGGTGTTCTCATCAACGAGAAGACTGAGGTCTTGACAAAGGATGTCAAGCGCGTTGAGGGAGTTTGGGGTGCGGGTGAGATCACTGGAGGAATACACGGCGGCAATAGGTTGGGAGGCTCGTCGTTACTTGAGTGTGTCGTGTTTGGAAGGGTTGCTGGTGATCAGTGCGCGGGGTATCTAAGCAGTCACAGATGAGTGCCGGCATACGTCTTACACTTGCAATCCTTGGTACAGCTGGAGGCTTCGTTCCGACCCGTTCTCTGACCCGGAGACGCTGCCCGGGTGTCTTTGTCTTTCCCGTCTTGTCCAAGGCCTTCATATTTTTCATACCAGGATCAATGATGCGTGCCAATTCCAGTTGAATCCATCGCCTCGTGCATGAGTCCCGGTATGACCCCCACATCAGATTGATATTCTCAGGACCCGAACGACTTTCCAGGTCGAAAAAGCAACGCTTATACCATGGCGTCAGCGGACCGCGACAGACGAACTCGTCACTGCCTTACAAGCCTTCCGCCTATGGCTTGAGAATTAGCTTGTTTGGGCCCGCTATTGCTGTTGCAGCGAAATGGTGTTCAGCCTTCTGTTCTCAGTGCTGCTACTACTGCTCTACCTCTACTTTGCAAACGCTGCTCCCAACGCTCGGCTCAATCAGAACTCTGACGAATCAAATTTGGCGAGCGTCGATGAAAAATTATCGTTTGCGAATACACGGCCCACTTCGCTGCAACGTATTTTCTCAGCGTCGGGGTGATTATGCCCATGGCGGTTTATAACTTCACTTCCACATAACGTATTCCACAGGCGAGCGCCGCACACGGGCGAGCGCCGCACCCCACCAAACTTACGCACCTTATTTAACGTCTAACTTAACAACGTTATAATAATGTATGTATATATTAATAGAGTAGATAAAGCAGTATCTTAAGTATCTACTTTGCACGTACGTGAGTTATGGCCAGTCTCTCTGCACCTCCTGCAGGGCGCTAGAGCCTGGCGGCTAAGGCCTGATTGATCTCCTCCTTGACGCTGCTCACGAGCAATCTGCTGGTCAGCCTCACGTTGAGCGAGTAGATCCTCTCCAGCTCCCTTTGTTAAGACCCCACTCTGCTGTATACGCTTTTTCTTACGCTGTTTGCGTGCTGACGCTGCCTTATTGGCTCTCTCAAGGCTGGTGATCTGATCACGTATCAGCTCAGCTGAGAGCATTATCACCTCAGCGCCCTTCTTAAGCTAGTTAATTGCTTCAATAATTGAGGCAGGTGATGAGCTCTTGTGCTGGCGCATGCAATCACGTATTAACGTTGATTAAGCCTCAAGCTCACGTACGTTGCTTGGTGTACGAGCCTCCCAGAGAGCCTCTGGCAGAGCAACTGGAGTAGGCGTACGCAGCTGCACATCAAGCTTTGATAGAACAACGTCTGCCTGGAGAGGAACAAGGCCTGCGCCTCTAAACGCTGAGCAGATATTGTCTGGCGTAAACAATTGTGTAAAGGCTGCCTTAAACGCTGGCAGAAACTTAAGCTTAGTGATGTGGTTAATGTGGTGGCAGATTAGGCTCTCAACCTCACAGCTGTACGCGTGCTTCAACAGCGAGAAGCAGCCAATATTAGGAGGCTGAAGTAGATGAGATAAGTGAGGCGGCATGCAGAGTGTGTAGATATTGTTCTCCTTGCAGAGCTCTTAAAACTTAAGAGAGTGGTGGCTCTTATGGCCATTAAGGACAAGCAGGCGACGCGCACTAATAACAAAAGTCTTTGTATAAGCGTTAAAGTGCTTTAGCTACTCTACTCCTAGCTTGTTATTTATCTAGCTATTTTTACTAACTACAATCACCTAGTTGTGTAGGATCTCTGCTTCCTCGTACTAGGCAGATAGATGATACTGGCCAGCGAAGATAAGGAACAGTGGTACTGAC